CCCCCATGACCCCCCCCTGGATCCGCCCTTGAGTGTTCCAGTGTTTTACATCGTCATAGAAAAGAATTTGTTCCTGACGAACTAACGGTGCAAAAAACTGAATAATTTAAATCAATTGTCGCGAAAGCCTAACTCGTTATGTGCCATCATTATTGGTCAACTTAAAAGGATCACGCTGTATAATGTTGCTTTAAACTCATGTCTGCTTCTCGACAGCACAACCTTAATTAGTGCTGAGAGGTTATGGTAGGTATTTTTAAATTATCCCAAGCCCATATAGATTCGACTGTCTATACCTACAACCTAAAAGTAATATAGTTAATTATAGAGGATGGTCGTTAAAAAAGTTAGAAGACCGAAATGATTTATTCGATTATATCCCACGGACACAGTTACGCCCTTTGGCACTTTGTAATAACCGACCGCTCTGACCGCTACCGATGTCAACTTGCTGCTAAACAAAAATTAGCTTTGGGGCAAGAGAATTCCAGCATAGTTTAAAAGTCCCACAAAAATTACTTTTTGCTTGTCAAAGCTCAAAGTTGAGGCTTATATTAGGGGACGATTTACATTCACCAACAAAATGTTGGCCAAGTATTTCACCTTGTGCCGAAGCTGAGTGAATCAGTTGAACCTCAAGAATTTCGAATTACAAAGGATACTGAATTATTATTCATCAAAATCTTAACATTAATTCCATTCACAACTGAACCATCTGAACATGGATCGCTGGATTATTAACACTTATTTTAAGGAAAACAATGGGACATTGTGTTATGCAAAAACCGTAATGAAGTGACCCGATTACTTACTTTAATATAGGTAGGTGAATCGATTTCAATTTCAGCAAATTAAATAATACCCAGTTAACAACAAATTATCACCAAAATACAGTTAGGTGATCTACGGTAGCAGTCTGTCGCCGTAACGCAGAAATTAAATACGTTTTATAGCGGTAATTATGTGAGATGTTATTAAGATGACTTGTATTGTAATAAGAATAAATTGACCGTCTAAACTGTACTGATAAGTGGAACGGTAAACTAGAATCAAGTTAATCAGATCAAAAAACACCAGATAATTATCCTTCGTCGTTCGATAGTTCCACATTCTAACATCATTAAAGAATATGTCACATTTGCTCAAAAACTGTTTCGCTTTAAAGCTTAACTGGACGGATCAAGAGTTTTTCGTTCTTTTTAAGAGAGTAGCCGTACACTAGAATTTCGTCCTAACGTTTCACAAACTCCAGCGGGTTGCATCTTAAGAAGAGGTTGATTGCAGTTCAAGAAAAAAATCTATTCCACGACTGCCTGAAAGTCAGAAAAACTCATCAGTTTCAAGCAATGAGTGCAGAACTTGAAAAACAAGAAATTAATTAAAAATATATCAAGCATGCAAAAATTAGATTAAAATGCATATAGAAGCACAGCTTTGCTCGCTTGAATATGCCCGGCATGGTATTTTTAACTGAACTATCAAGAGTTATTATGTTACCTTATAACCCAAAAAAACATCCCCGTACAGGAAAATATTTTCTTTCTATACAGGGGCTTTATTCCTGATACACAGGAACAAACGGTCTTCGAGAACTGAAAAATGAATAGGGCATGGGCATGGGAATCTCAGATATTTTATCATTTCGAGCTAAAAGCTAATCTAGTTAAATATTCTTTCAGATCCCCAGCACGATGATTAAAAACCGAATGCTCGTCAAATTACAGCTGAATAAAACCGTGATTTCTAAAATAAATATCTCAAAAAATAAAGAAAAATCGTGGAACTGAATAAAGGGAATATTTTTAAAGGATGTTGGGCAGGACGGCCGGCATCGAGATACTAACTAAATGTTTGCATAATGATATGGCCATTAGACCGACGCTAATAAAAAGTTCACAATCGTTCTGTATTTTGAAATCATTAGGAAGGAACGCGGTTTTCTCCGTTCTCGATAAACATTTTACCCTTACGAATATTTCAGTTATTTTCGTTTTGCCAACCGTCAGTTTACTTCTCCAATTTTAATTAGGCGTTTTTATTCAAGAACATTATAAGAGTGAGTAGCCATAATCAAGTCATTAGGCCAATTTTCCTTCCAAATATGGACAGAACTTGGGCAATTTCCATCACTTTAACAACGTGATAAGGCAAATAAATTTAGAGCCTTAACACTTTATGAAGCTTTTTAACTATTCTCAGCATAAAGTATCCAAGCAGGTGAATTCAAATCAGCAAATCAGTTAAGTGTAAAATATTAATTGTAAAATATTAATTTCCTGACTGTGTTTCAATTCCAAATTCCTGGGTTTCAGTCATTTATTGTCTCTATTTATCAATCAAAATACGTTTCGGTGTATTTTTCCACCATCATCAGTTTTTATGTGTAGCGTTGTTGCTGCTTTAAGCCTTGGCATGCATTTTTTTGATTTTTGAAAAAATGCATGCCAAGGCTTAAAGCAACACAACGCTACACATAACGCTACACATAAAAACTGATGATGGTGGAAAAATACACCGAAACGTATTTTGATTGATAAATAGAGACAATAAATGACTGAAACCCAGGAATGAATTTAAATAATTAATAAAATAATTGATGAAAACGATCGTAGGAGCGATTTAAGGAATTTGAAAATTTTACTGCGGCAGCCCTTAGAAAGTAGTGCGAGCAATAACGAAGACAATGGAAAGAGCTTTCAACCATAAAACAAAAGGACCCAATACACTCTGTTCTCAAATCTTAACTCTAACGGCAACGGGCGTTACAAGAGATCGTTAATGGTATTTATGGGTGCGCTTAAGAGTGTTCTCTTATCTTTTAACGATGGACATGTGTCCTCTCGGACGACAACTTATGGCAAATTATGGGTATTAATTTTATCAGTTTACCGGTATACTAATTTAATGATCGCTACGAGAGATATGTAAATCCGTATCGGATTTTTCTCTTCGGATTGGCAAACTTGCCAGTACAAAAGTTAGGCTTTTACGGCCATTGCGTAACACTGGTAAGTTTTTCGGACTTTTGAGCCGTTCCTGGCTTCAGAGGATGCAAGCAAACCTCTGGTGCTTGAGAAACCTCAGGAAGACATTTTTTTGAACGAGAATCTCACCCGTTTTCAACTTGGCGTCACTGTGAATAAATTGCCAAAGGCGTCATCAAAACGGATTGAATGTATTTAATTTTGCGT